GAAAATCTAAATGATATAAAGAAGAAGTATTACCAAAACAGTTGTTATAATTTAAAAGAGAAAATCATAATAATATGCTAAAATAAATAAAAATTGTAACTTATAAAAGCCTATGATAATATTTTAAAATAAATCGAAATAGTTGTTTAGAATAGATTACACCAATAACGGGTTAGAAAAAACAACAGTTGTTTAATAGATAAAATTTTAATTCGTAAACTACTGTTATAACATTAGTAGAAATTTTTCATATAAAGAAAAAAAAAAAAAAAAAAATATGTTTTCATATTTTACAAAAATTTTTACATTTTCTCTTCTGTTATGGAGGATACAATATTCCGATGAGGTAGATCAATAACTGTGTTTTATGTTTTTTAAGCACAAATTCTTATATTTTATATTTATTTATATGCGAGAATATATATATATGCATATGTTTATACTTATTAATTTTTCATTTTTACTTTAATTTTTAGTTATCTGCCATTCATAAATCGCTTATTAAGAAAACTAATCACAATGGTAAGGCAAATGTTAGAGGTAGCAGAATGTTAATGGGGGGAAAATCATTATACTCGGAACAAAGCTATTCAGATCTTGGTGTAGATTTAGAAGATTCATCGGATGAAAAAGATATGTCGACTAATGAGCATTTCAAAAAAATATTACAAGATAAAAATATTCAAAAACGATTGAACACATTAAATTGTTGTGATAGTTCTGATGCCACACAAATTAGTACATTGAATGATGAAAATATCTCTGAAATTACATCTAATTCATTTCAATCGTCTGATATGCTGGAAAAATTTCTGGAGACATACAAATTTTACGATAGTAACAAAAAACATACAAATAAGGCAAGTTATAATGATAGTGTTTTTTCATTTATTAGTGATATGCACAGTGAGTATATGAAAACAGGATCATATCCTCAAAATGAAGCGTTTCATGAAGTTGTAAAGTATAATGGAAAAAACGGAAGGAACCACAGATCAAAGTTACGAAGATTAATTAGCGACCTAGATCTCAAATTTGAAGTAGAAATGATGCGAGCCAAAAGATTGGATTCTAGCCAACACTCTCTTTCGAAGTCTAAAAGTATTTCTAGTTTTATTTCTTTTTATGCAAGTAAATATAGAGTAGCTACACCATTTGCTGTAACCATGGCTTCTATATTTACATTTTTATCATTTGGAATGGTAGTACCAGCCACTATATCGACTGCAATAGCAATAGCAATGTTTTCTGGTTACGAGATGAAAATAAATAAACTAAGAAGGATGAATGCAGTTTACAAACTATTTATTGCAAATAATAAACATATGAAATACCTTTGAATAACCGCCACCACCCTTTAATATATATTCAAATATAATACTTTAACTTTAATACACCAAATATTCAACACACTGAATAATAAAAATCAGTATTTATCCCTATTTATTTATAGAAATTGTATATTTGCTAATACATTGAAATTAAGAGTTTTTTTTAATAGTTTTTTTCTATGTCTCCCTGAATAGATATATTCAAAGCAAGAGTAACTTGCCTATTTTTATTATTAATTTCGCACACATATTTGTTGTGAAATAATGTGTTCTGCAAAAGAATACTTTGTGATTTATCTTTCTTTTTTTTCTAGATCATATTGATTTACTAATCATGCTAAAAATGAACATATATATATACATACCATTTTAGTTATAAAAAAAAAAATTCTATATAATTGTATTAATTTAAGTACTTTGTTTACAAAATTTTATATTTCTTAATTTTTAAAGCAACCAAAAATATGTTTTAACTTTAGCATGACACGTCTCTTATGAGAATTGTTATATAAAATGCAATTATTTAATAATTATGTCTATTAAAACAAAATAGGAGTAATTTCTTTTCGTTATTAATTTATAAATACTCTGTATAACGAATCGTCACTTGA